AGGCGCGTTCAGGTCCCAGAGCCGCAGGCGAGGCTGCTCCGTCCACAGTCCGCCTTCCTCCGTGGTGCCGCGCCTCTCAGGACTCAGGCCCTCGTCACCTGCTCACCCTCCTGATCAGGGACGAGTCAGAATCGGCCAGAAGGACATCCGTACACAGAGGAAGGGCCAGGAGGCGTGGAGGGACAATGACCACGGTCAGGGCTCGCTGGGCCGTGTGCCCCGAGAGGCCCGGTGCCAGCAGAGTGCTCAGGGCGGCAGCTCCGGACGCTGGTCCCCAACAGGCAGGGGGACGGCCGACTGTCAAAATGGCGTTGAGACGGGAGGACGCTCTGTCAGGAAGGGAGTCGGGCCCTTAAATCCGGTGCGTCCTCGGGTCCCAGCACAGCCCACGTTTGCGTGGCGTCCACACCTGGCACGTCTCCCCCTTTCTGCACCGACACCCGAATCTGCTGCTCCAAACGCTTCTGCAAAAACCTCAGGAAGCAGCCGCGAAGCTGGAGGCGAGCTTCCTGGCTCGGGACCCGCCGGTTCCAGGTCCCATCTCCGCTTTGCCGTGGGGACAGCGAGGTGGCACCGCGTCCGTGTCCCTGGGCTGGGGCGGGAGGGGGTGCAGGAGGCCGGCAGGCAGTCTGTGGAGCCTGCTTGCCTAGAGGCTGGTGGAGCAGCTCCTCGGGACCCTGGGGCCTGGTGGGAGGTGACGCCTCGCCTGCGAGGACAGGATGGGTGATTGTGTGGATTTATCCCAGGAAATGCCAGTTGGGTTTAGGGCCATGGTTGGCAAACCGCGGGCGGGCGCGCACATACAGTGCGATTGAAACTTCGTGGCCCATGCACAGAAGTCGGTATTTTGTGAAAGAGCCACACTCAAGGGGCCAAAGAGCCGCATGTGGCTCGCGAGCCGCAGTTTGCCGACCACTGGTTTAGGGGGCTGGCGCGCGCGCTGAGGTGTTGGCTGATGCAAAGAGGAGAGAACTTTTTAAAGTTGTCTTCGGGTCTGGGCCTCCGATCACATGGTGGACCAGCAGTTGGACTTTTCTGTCCTTAGATTATAAAATATTATCTTAATTTTTTTTCTCTGGCGGGGGGGAGGGGGGGCGGGGGGAGAAATAATTATTATTTAGGGAGTTTGCATTTAGCTCAGAATAGCAAAGCCTGCATAGTCATATTCAGAAATATCACCAAACCATTATAATTTCCAGCCAAAAGTAGAAAACGTTATTTTTGACTCACGGCCGACACAGGATAAAAATAAACGGCGACTGGAAACCCCAGCTCGAGAGATCTGGGTGGTACAGACGGCACAGAAGGAGGAGCCGGAGGCGTGGGTCTGAGGGCTCCGTGGGGGCCACACAGGGGGCCTGTCGCGGGCGCGGGGCTGGGACCCGGAGACCACGTACGTGTCAGCGGTGGTAACAGTGACCCCGGGAAGGAGCCGGCGTCGCAGG